GGAAATTAAATCTGGTAGGACTCTTTGATGTTTCTTGTTCTTGCATTCGTATTGGGCTTCCTTAGCGAATTGGGCCGCTGCAAGGYTTCACTGCGAATTGAGCTTCAGCTGCGAAATGGGCTTCAGCTGCGAACTGGGCTTCTCTACGAAATTGCTTAGACTTCGGGCCCAATTTTGACATCGATTCAATCTGAATATATTAAAACTCAAAACACTAAATTTGTAGAGTTTTTCCTTATCTTTCCAATGCATCTTGAATCTTCTCAATCAGAGTCCGGATGGGAGAGTTATGCCCAATTTATCTTGCGGTGCCGAAACTGTGTAAACCCCGAATAGCCTTATTTTTCCCTTAACGCCTTCTTTCGTGCCCTAAATCAAAATACAAGAATAGTGAGTCCAATTAGGCACTAAATAAGTTTAAAAGACTGAATATTAAGGGGCGAAAATAAGATAATTTTTATTCTCATCAGAATTCAATAGGTTTATTATAATATGGTCCATCGGGTCAGGCCCGATTGTCCCGAGAATAGCTTGGTTTGGTTTTCGATCTTGTCAAGTCGATTCTGATTCTACTTGGACCCAACTCAGACTTGACCCATTGACCTACTTGTGCTAGGTAATCATTACTATTCCACATGAGGTGAATTTACCATATTTCTCCAAGGTGAATCCATGTTTGATTTAATTATAAATTGGTCGAATTCAAATCACCACTGGTGAGATCAAATTCAAACAACTCGATATGGATGGTTTGCAGCCCTATCATATAATCTAAAACCCATGGAAGTAGTTGCACAAATAGGGTGCAAATGGATCAGATCATGATCCAATTCGAATTCAAATCTGACCCTATTTCTCCAGATTCGGATAACCCCCTTTTAGATTTGATATACATACATACATACATGCATACATACATACATATATTATTTGTAATTGGATTTTATATTATTTATTTTATTAATTTTATAATAAAGACATCTATACACTTRTTATAATATAAGGAAGTCTATCTTCTCTTCATCTTTTTTTTTTGAATTTTTTATTTTATTTTATTGCATGTTATTTTTACAAACAATCATTATATATAAACAAAGGGAGAGTTTCTATTCCTATATCTAGCCACATGGCACTATCCCCTTCACTATAATCCCACTCTAATTCCTCTGTATTCTCTCTTCCACTTTCCCAACACACTCATTATTCTCTCTTAAACCAAGGCACTAACAGACATCACATGGATGAGCATTATTAATACTTAAACACTTATATTTTATTAGCCACTCACATATGCTCACATATAGCCACGTATTGTTCCAGGTTGGTTTGGTTTGTGATTGGTTGTTTATTACAATGTTTTTGAACCACCGTTTATTTGAATGGTTGGACCGTTCAAGTATTGGTTTTGTTTTACCCCAAATCCAGTCTCTGGTCAAAAACCATTAAATTAATTAATAACTCATTAATCTGGATGATYAAAMCGTTGATTTATTTGACCCATTTATTGTTCTTTTATTTTAATTATTTTTTAATTTTTTGTTAAATTAGGCCATTCATTCTAACTACTCCTAGAGGTGTAAAGTGGGCTGTGTCAGGCTGGCATGGCCCGGCCCATGGGCGGCCCGCGTGTGTCGTGCTGGCCCATGGGATGTCATGGGCCGTGATGCCCTCCCCGATCAAAATTTTGGGGGTTAGCTTGGCTCATATCCTTTTCCACCTAGTCCTCCACCTAGTCCCATGTTCTTAGAATATACTATAAAAACAAGTGTTGGTGAGAAAAATAAATAAATTTATCTCCTTTAGAGGCCTCAACCCCACTTATAGTACTCATAAGCCTTATTCCATCAAGATTCTTGTCTCCATGTGAGTTGGTAAAAATAAGATAAAAAGCTACTGCTTAGAAGTGTAAATCGGGTCATGCTGCCCGTGACCCAACACAAACTTGGACCGGCCTGACACAATGGTCTACGGGCCATGCCAAGCCCGGCACGATCATGCGGATTGTGTTGGGCCTGAGATTTTAGGCCCATAGGTCGGCATGGCATGGCACAACTGAGCGAGCCCGCGACACAATCCATATATATTATATATATTTTATAAATATTATAGAAATTATAATTATATAATAATATACAATATATAATATATTAATAAAATAAATATTTTTTAATTTTATTATACTAATTTGTTTAATTATTTTATATATAAGCAATTGTGTACACAAAATTCATATAAAATTAAAATTTTAAGTTTTTGTCAATTTTTTTAAATAAATAGCTTTGGCCCGATGCACAGCCAGACCTGGCCCAAGGCTCGGCCCACAGGCCGGCATGGCACAACCCACTTTACACCTCTACTACCGCTCCCTCTAGAGTCCTTAGAAATCATCGGAACTTGAATTGCCCCCTTCAAAGTTCATCAAGAACTCCAAAATATCTAGAGTGCCCCTTCCCAAGTTAGAAATGAAGTTTCCTACTACAATCAGGATTCTTTTGAGGTCTTTGATTAGCCCTTTAGCTCATTATACAGTCGGTTGATCTATGGTTGCATGATGGGAACATAGAAAAAGCTCAAACCCTACTCTAGTATCAAGTAAAAATTTACAGAAAAAAAAAATCTATAGGAAAGTTCAATAAAAGAAGAGGTTTAGGTTTAGGTTGGTTTAAGTTTATTAACTCATAAATCTACACAAAATCATCAATAGGGTCAGGTCAGGTTGGTTTAGGTTTGTTAGATCTGCTCGACCCATCGATATATTTTGCTGCAATTGGTCTCTTTCACCCAGACCTCTAGAAAAAGAAGTATACGAACATGGATTTAAAAGACAAGGTAAAAATTAAACACCCATATTGACTGATGGTGCTGCCTTGAAGAATATAATAGAAACCAAAACAAATTTTGCCAGAGTGGATCCATTGTTTGGTGTCACTTCGAGAGTCCGGCTTTACTCTATACAAAATCTGTGGAATCTTCCAGCAGCAATTCAATGTCTTCACTCGCTCCAATTATTAAACATCAATGAATGTCCCCAACTGAAGAGACAATGCAAGAAGAAAGGGGGTGGAGATTGGCTTAAAATCTCTCATATTCCATATGTTAGAATAAGTTGAAAGGTCATCGTCCACCCCATACTTCACTGGTTGTTGGRTTAATGGAAATAAGAAATTACTTTCACTCTGCCCTTATTCTTCCTCCTCAATACATGGCAAGTTCCTTCTCCCAAAGTTTATTAATTCCTATTTAATTGAGTGASATGCAGAAAGGTCACTGGTTTGATATCAATGTTTTGTTCGGCTTCTGTTGTTTCAATATTAAATATTATCTTTTTTTTTTCTTTCAATTCTCTATTACTCTAGTTGCTTGTTCAGAACAAAATATATACTATCCTTGTAAATGTCATGATTTCAGAGTTGCCTTCTCTCTTTTTGATGCAGTTCTTTACTGATTTCACATTAATAGTCATTCAACTCCCTAATACATCATTCAGGGTCCATTGGAGTTGCAGTTGGAATCAGAATCGGAATGGTCTACTCCTCCTGTCTGCTGGGTTCAAACAGAAATCGGGATCAGCTGGAATGGATTCTCATTCCCAAGGGAGGGGAGGGAATTGCCATTACCTCAAATGGAAGAATGCCATTCCACCAGGAATGGGAATGAGATTCCTATTTTCCCCAACCAAACGTTTGGAATTGGATGGACCATTCTGATTCTGATTCTAAATTCATATTCCCGCGGACCAAACAGATCCTGTCTCTTTCAAACAGAGCACAGATATTAAATGGTATTTCTTTTATTGACTTGTTAAACATCTACAATCATGGTGCAACCAGCATCCTGCATGAAATTTATGAAGAAAAAATTCTAACCTAATTTCCTCTAAAGTCTACTACATTTATACACATGATGATGATGATGGATGAATTTAAAGTACCACACTACCACCACTGCAGATTTTATTCCCATGGATTGGAGTTATTGAATAATGTTCTTTACTGTAACTCTATATACTCTAGATGTTCCTTGTTCTGCTAATAAGCAAACCACCTCATTGGCATTACATTTCAAAGGCAAACCCATCTATACTACAAAACCCTCTTTAGTGTGTTTCTCTAGACTTTTTCTTTTTTTTTTTTTTTGAATGGAAGATTAAACCCTCTTCTTTTTCTAATAGCACCTCAAGCAGCAGCATCCTAAAATTTAGACAATTTGCATGCATGTCAGAAGAAGATTCACATCCACACAATAATATATATCAAGGCTTTTTGGGCAAGAAAATTTTGAAAGAAATAATCTTTTTAAATTTTTTGGCTTGCAGCTACAATTTAAAATTGTTATTGGAGATCCAGATTTTCACTGTATGGTTTGATATATAAATTATTTTCCTTAGTCCATGCTTCCAACTTGCTACTTGACTCTATAGGGTGACACGCAGGAGGATTCTCCCACTAAGCATTGTTTGAAGCTTTAAAATTTTCATTTACAAAATAACAGAGAAAGAAAATCCTAGTGAAGAAAGAAATGAAAACAAAAAAAAAAAAAAAGCGAAACCTTTTGGGTGCCATCTCTTCGTTTCATGTATTGTTAGCAAACCGAATACTCAAATAGGATGAAAGCTGTGGTGGATTGAAGGATAAGTGAACTAATTGATGGTTTGAGATTCCACCATCAGGTTGTTGTTTCACAGTATTAAAAGATTCAAATAAAGTAACTTTTGTACATGGGATGATGGGGCGTAGAGTCCTAAATCCAACAAATGGGCCCGTTAAAAGTGTTCTAAATCCAATTAATAGGATAGCTTTTTTAGAAAAATATCAAGAAAGAGCAGTGATACTGTTATTCGTCTTCTTCCTCTTCCTCTGCCTCTGTTTTTTTATATGTACGCTGTAGGCTGCAGCCCTAACCTTCCGCCCTCTCACCACTTACCACCCATTTAATTGTGATTTATTAACAGTTAACTCATTCCTTGGCAAAACCCAAAGCGAGAATCAAAGGGAGCAAAGATGTCCAGAGCTACTGTGGAGCTCGATTTCTTCGGCATAGAGAAAGAGAACCCCAGCAAATCTCAGTTTCAAAAGCTTCTCGATCAACAGAAAACTATTCGAGGTCTGCCTCTTACTGCAGCGCACGAGCTGACAAGGGTTTTGCACTGTAGGTTATAAATTAATCAGCGCACGATTTCAGACTTGTCAATGGATAAGAGAAGGAAGAGGAAGACGAGGGTTTTGCACACTGACACTGTTCCTCGTCATCCTCCGTTTTGCGCACTGGCATGGGCGGATAAGACGTGAAACAGTCCTCTGTTTTGTGCACTGACATGCGCGGATAAGAGGAGGAACAGGGTCCACTGACATGGGTGAATCCATCATTCCTCTTCCTTCTCTTATCCGCCCATGTCAGTGCACAAAAGGGAGGAAGATCCGCCCATGTTAGTGCGTAGAGGTGTAAAGTGGCGTGGGCAGCCCGCATTGCGCCCGGGCCCATGTGGGCCTATACCGTGTCACGGGTCAGGCTGGTTCAATGATCGAGCCTTGGGCCAGGTGGGGCCATGTATCGGGCCAAAATTATTTATTTAAAAAATTGATAAAAAACTTAAAACTTTAATTTTATATGAATTTTGTGTATAAAATTGTATATATATACAATAATTAAATAAATTAGTATAATAAAATCTAAAAATATTTATTTTATTAATATATTATATAATATATATTATTATATAATTATAATATATATATATTGTTAGCGTAGGGGTATTTCTGTCTTTATACCTAGATTAATGTTGTTGATCTGTAATGTTGTGTTGGAACAAGTGCTCTTAACTTGAGTAAGGGCACATAGATCTTTTCAGTTATGTTTTAATAATAATATAAATACTTCCTGGCCGACGGGGAGAAGTCAAGTTGACTCTTTCAGTTCAAACTAGAATTCTTTCTCTCTTTCACCTTTTCTTCTTTTACATAACTAAACTCACACAAGCAGAACTCTAAGGCAGACCTGAATTCTATCATGGTATCAGAGCTTCTTGAATCTGCCTAGATTTCTGCTTGCCTAGGTTTCCATTCTCTACGCACCCTATCTAGGGTTTTCCTTTTTTTTCTGTGTTCGATTGGAGATAAGGGAAAGAGCTGAAAAGGAGTGATCGCCATCTTCCCTTGGAGGTTTCTATGCCTCCAGTCAGGTCGTATGTGGTCGGTTGCTGTGATTTCTGAGATCGCCCTCTCCTAGTAGAGGAAGAATAGAGGGCCGAACTATGTGGGCAGTGGCTGTGGTGTGTGGCTGTTGTGTGTGCAGCGGTGGTCGTGTGTGGACTGCTTTCCTACTTGTATGGGTGTTACTTCAATGATAAGGTAAGAGATTTCAGTGCATGATATCTGTTATGGATTAAATAGGAACTATGTTTCAGACCATATGCTAGGGTTTCGGCCAATAATGTGTTAGGGTTTATGCTGGTTTCTTTGTGCATTTTGAAGGAAGAGATATGACCATATAGTGGTGAGATTTCAGGTAGTTGTAGGAGTAGGGTTTGTGGTGTGAGCACACTTTTCAGCAACAACAAGTGTTGAAATCGATGTGGTAGGGGTGATCTAGGGTTTGTGGTGT